TCTTTCAATACAAAAGTAAAAAATACATAAAATATAGAAAAATACATCTCCCAGTAGTATAGCAAAGATGCAAATTCATTTGAAACATTTTGGCAGTCAAGGAGAGATTTTTACTACTGAGTAGAAAAAAAACTCATTAGCTGCAAGAAGAAAATGGGGAAAAGGAGGAGGAGGAAGAAAAGAGAGGGGGAAAAGGAGGAGGGGGAAATAAGGGATCCACAGATACAGATCGAAGCACCAGAGTTTTCAAAACAGGATGCCTCCAATTTATCACCTAGTTAAGATTAAAATAGCTGATGAAAGTTGTGTCTATCATACATTATCAGAAATTTGTAATGCAGCAGCAAAATGCAGCAACTCCTCATGTCTATATTATTGAATAATAGCCATGCAACACTACATTGATGAACTAACCTGCAGACACGGGCAGGAAAATACAGGTTCTGCCAGGACCGACAGAGGTACTTAGAGTGATCAATAACCCGAATCCAGTCTAACTCATCCATGGACACTTCAATGTAGTAGGAGTAAGACCTATGGATTGTCAAAAAGCACTGGTTAGAATATAAACAGCCATATCTTAGGTATTAAATTTCACACTTCCTTTTGCATTTTCAGTTGTGCTGAAATAAAGGCTATTTGTTCCTGCCCACAGACTTGTATCTAATATATTTAAAAGAGATCCCTATTTTCAAACTAGCTTTGAAAATAAATTCACATGCCATTATTTTAGGTCATGTTTTCAGAATGACTTAAAACATCCTAACATTTACAATCTGCAGTAATTAGATTAAACCATTGCCCCTCAAAAAAATGCAATGAAGACTTGCCACTCAGTCATAAAAATAATCATCTGCACTCCTGTGTAGAGTAAATCTAAACCACCAGTGATACAGTTGTTATTTCTATTGCCATATCAATAAAGAAAAAAAAAAACACTTCAAACTTAATTTGAAAAAAGCAAATTTACTTTATGATAATTCTCTTGTTGATTTTCTTAGCTTCTGACTGCTTCAGTTGTTTATGATACATTGTTAAACCTGTCAATACTTGCACACTCCAAAACTACCTCAACAAAAACTAAAAGTCACAAACAGAATCTGGGTCTTCCTCTTGCTTACAAATTATGTTTAGTTTATAGTTTGCTGTTAGGAGAAAGCAAACTCAAACTAAACCTTAAAAGCGACAGCTGTTTCCAAGTTACATCTGCAATAGTGATACCCAGAATGATGTAGAAATTTCACTTGTGAGATTAGTTTAGGAGTATTTTCTCTCTCTTAAAGTACTAGTCTGCAACATTCACAGGCACTTCAACAGCACCATGTTAGCATTTATCCTTTCAAACTTATTTCTAAAAGAAGAGTTCCTCTTCCAGAGTTCTACACAGACATTTTTTGTCAAATATTAATGCCTTTGTTAATATTTCATACTTTTTGCCAAGGCCTTTTGAAGGGTAGATGTCTAAAGTGGTACAGTTTAAAAATTCTTTAAATGCTAGACAACACTTAATACCTATGTATGCACTTGGAAAGTCAATGCAGAGTCTTTAAGACATCAATTGCGTCATCAGCATTCCTACTCAATCAACCAGATGTGTAATATTCACTGCACATATAAATACACTAGCATTTGAGAGATTCAGAAGTTGAGATCAAAAAGTTCCTGTCTGACTGTCCTCTGTGTGGTGAGAATTTAGGGATTCTCACATCACCAAAGCTAGACTATTGTAAATGTATAATCAATATACAACATGCTTTTTATTTGGTTTCTGAAGGGACCAAACAAAGAAAAAATACTTTAAAAATACAGTTCCCTTAGCATACACAACAGCAGGACTTTTATTTTTCTTAATGATGGCATATTTTTTGCAGAGGTAACTTGGACACCTACTCTCCTTATTACTTTTATATCTAAAATTAATCTTTTAATAACACATCTAAACTAGAGGTGCAAAACACACCTGTTAGTTTGTATTTAATTCTGTTACAAATGTACATTATCTGTATATCTATATCCAATAGACCAGAGCTTCACAGAGATAGAATGAATAGGTAGTTTAAAAAGATGTTCAACAAGAAGCCACTATGCACTTGTACAGCTTCTAAAACATCTCTTTTGGAGTCATTATTCATGTATCTCAGGAGAAAGATGCAGACAGGTGGCTGGCAATTCTTAGACTAAAAGAGTACATAGGTCAGAAAGGATGTCTAGAAAAAGCGAGGACAATCTTACAGCAAGTTCCTTAATGTCTTGGCTGGTGAAGTCCTGCATATCTCCAAGGACTGACATGCATAACCCTCTCCACCCAAACTCTTCCCATAATCAACTGTCTCATTATGAAATTTTTTCCTAATATATAATAGGAACTGCCCTTGTTGCTTATGTCCACAGCTCTTTGTCCTCCCAGTACACAGCAGAAAGAGGAATCTGCGTGAAGAGCCCTAAGCTCCTCCTTCCAAGCCCTCTGCTCTTAAAACAGCAAGTTGTCTCAGCACTTGTACCCTGTGCTCAAGCCCTTATCTTCTGGGCGTCCAGCTGAATTCACTCCAGCATGTCAGTACCTTATACTGAGGAGCCCACAACTGAACCAAGTACTCCAAATGCTTCCTTTCTGTCCTGGTTTGAGCCAGGAGGAAGCCAATTTTTCTTTTTACTGATTTTTTTTTTTTCCTTCAGTAAGCTTTCTTGTAACTAGCAACAGTGTGTTCTGCTAAGCTGATAAGACAGAGGAATGTTTTTCTAACTACTGAGGCTTCAAGGCCGCACCTGCACTCTGCCAGCTCAGACACTGTGGGGAGATCTGTGACCCCCCCGTAGGAGGCTGAGTTAGACGGACAGCAAAATTGGCCAAAGATATTCCATTCCATATATCTACGTAAGCTCAAAGGAAGGTCAGAGATCACAGAAGACAACTTCCTTCCTTCTTCTTTTTCCCCTCTCTTCCGTCCATGGCCGGCGTCCAGGGAGGACTCTGTCCATCCATCACCGTCGATCCTCAGGCTTGATCTCTCGTGACCCCCATAACTCTCTGCTTTCTCCAGCAGCAGCTCCGGGTTTCCTCGGGACTCTTCCCAGTTCAGGGAAGTGCTGTGGGAGTTGCTGGGGTGGGGGGAGGCGAGAGGCTTTTTGCCCATTCCTGAACATATCTGTACATAATTGTATATATTTTCTTGTATCATTCATTAGTGTTTTAATTAAAGCTGTGTAGTTTAGTTTTCAATCCAGCCAAGTCTCTCTCTTTTTCTCTCTCTCCTTCCCTACCTGGGTTGGGGGAGGGGGGATCGAGAGCATTGTTGTCTGACCTGAGTCAAACTCTGACACTTTCCCATTTATCTTAACTGTGCTACTGGAAGTGGGGCAGGGAAACCTAACAATTCAGGTACTATACCTGATTGGAAGCAAACGGAAGTCCTACAGATAACTTCCCATTCCCATACCACTGCACCCTCAGCATTTTATAAAGACAAAACACTCTGAAGTGGAGGTTGCTATTGTCTGATATTCTGTCATGAACAATGATTTGCTCTACAAATTTCAGAGGAAGGGCATAGGACACCAAGCAACAGATAAATTGTTATTAAGTTGTCCCAAGGAGAGGGGTTATTCCCTGAATTTCAGCAGCTGCTGAGTTACACCTTGCAGATGAGAGGCATTTCACCACTTACAAGCTCTCTAAAAATTGCTAAGGAACTCCTCATTATTAGTATGTCTCTAATACTTTTCCAAATTTGTAACACTGGTCAAGAAGTTGGTTAATAGTTTTGGTTCTGCTTCTAGGACAGGCTGTATAATACTGTATTAAATAGTTCCTTGTCCCTTCAAAGGTTTACTTTTTCATTTTTCCAAAAGGATTGGAGCAGAAGCATAAATTTCAGCTAACTGAATAAGGATAAATTACTTAAAACAATGTAATAGCTAAATATTAATGCAGTTTGTTTTGAATGATTAAGTGTAATTAATATTTTTAAGTAAATTACAAAAAATAAAAATAATCAACAGTAAAACATCAGTACCCTCTGTTCTAAAATAACACATCAATTTATAAAATGAAGATAGTCAATTAGTCAGATAAAAAGGAGCTTGCAATTTTCCTACTTAAGCAGTCACTCGATTGTTCAAATATGCATAGTTTTATCTTTAATGCATTTGGTAATAATCTAACGTGGCCTAGTATAAATTAGCTATGTCATCCATGATAGTTCATGCTTCACCAGTCTCACCATGAAGTGGATACTAATAACAACTGTAGTTAATCCGTAATTCACATTCTAAATAAATTTTACTATATCTGAATCGTTGTCACTGTTATTTCTTAACAATTTTTATATCTTGAAAAAATATTAGCAAATATTCATTTAATGTTCGGAATGTAAATATGCAAAAAAATGGTTTCTGCAAAAAGAACTAGAATATTGTTTTTCAAACTGAAATAAAACCAGTTGAAAACTAAGTGGCAAATAGAAAACAAAACAATTTTGTATGGAAACTTTCAGTAGTAATATAAAGTATTTAACGAAGACACAAAACATACATTGAATTACTATGAAATAGTTTAGTATCAGTTTTTTTCAAATAAAATTTGCTCTTTTCATCTTCAACACCATGCCATGCTGTTTCTATAAAATATTTAATGAATGTTTCATATTGGTATATTACCACCAAGCACAAAATGCATTACTTTCCCTTTTTATGTCACCTTGGCACCTACCGACTATCTCTGTCCCATAGGAGGATTCGTATGTGGTTGATTATTGACGGCTGCCCTAGTTTAATTTCAATCCCAGAACGGCAGTCGTCATCAATCGGGTGTCGAGAGAAGCCATGATCCAAGTCATAGTTCTGAGTATCTCCATCTAATAAAGCAGACTTCAGCTCTCCTTTTACAACTTGTGCTCCATACTTCATTGTTGCAATATTTTCTCCTGGGACTAAGAAGAAAAGGAAATAATGGCAATTTTTATATTCGCATAATGCAAATTAGATGTTCTGAACATTAGCTGTATTAGGATGGAACAAAGACTTATTGCCTGTATCCCTTGTTGGCCACAAACATATACTCAAGAGAAAAAAAAAATACAAAAAGAAAGGCATTTTAGAAATGTTGCTTTATCCATTTCATTTGGTGAGGCACTGGAACAGGCTGCCCAGGGAGCTGATGGAGGCACCGTCCCTGGAGGTGTTAGAAACAAGTCAACGTAGTGTTTCAGGAGATCGTATAGGGGTTAGAGGTTGTAAAACACACGGTTGGACTTGATCTCTTAAAGGTCTTTTCCAACCTTGATGATTCTATAATTTGACGTCCCCTAGGTCTCTCCAGTAGTAATAAGTAATGATGGTAGTAATAATAAGTCATTATTTACTACTATGTAGTATCTATATTCTTAGTTTCCTTAATGATTTTAGAGAATTCTATTGCACCTTCCTTGTATGATCACCATTTTTTTCATGGTTTTACAATTTTGGCCTATTTAGTCTCTCCTTGTGATCAGCCTCTCACCATATCTCAATTTTTTTGCCCTTTCTTTGCAATCTTTTTGTTCTATTTTCAACTGGTTTTTGTTTATTTTGGTTGTTTGTTTTGTTTTTTTTAAGTGGAAGAAAACTAAAAATCACATAAAATGTTCAAGATGGGGGAGCATCATGAATTTGCAGAGTAGTATAAACAGCAGTATAGCTATACAAGCTTCCAGTACTAAATCTAAACAAACCTGAGTGAAATGGAAAATGTTTGGCTCCTTGGGCATTGAACCAACATGATAAAGTAAGTTTTTTATGTCACCATTTCACAGCAATAAACCTGTTACATCCTATCAACGTATCTTCCATCAAGATAACTGTGAATAATGATCCCTAACTTCAACTACAAAACAATACAGTGATGAACCTCCAAATTAAAAAGACATTTTTAACAATTTCATTGAGGACAGACCCTAGAAAAATGCAATCTGAAAACTCAATTAATAAAAGCTGCACCAAGCTCTTCAGGCAGGTTGGTAAGCGAAGTATCAGTTTTTAACAGGATGTTAACTTAAACATCTAAAGAGCAGAATATGATGTGGCAAAATTTTAACTGTATTGTGTACTACTACATAAATGTACATCTATGGAATTGCAAGTGATCGTCAATGTTTCCATAAACAGGAAAAAGCCTGAACTAGTACTAAAGCAACATACAAGTTCAGTTCTCCAAAGAGGTGTGATTTTTACAAAACTAGAAATGTTGAAGAGTATATTATTACTGAAATATAAATATGCAGAAAAAGAAGTCAGAAAATGCCATTTAATTTTTTATCTACTGCACAGTCAACAGGATGTCTTGCATGCTAAGACTTTTACAATACTCTATTATTGTCATATGCTTAAATATAAATATCTGTAACTTCCAAGAGAGAAGAATGGGGAGATGAGGTTCTGAGAAAGTGGTTCTTCTCAGAGCTTATCATGCATGACTCACAGAACATTTAACTATTCTTTGTTGTGGAGCAAATCAGACATTAGATAGCAAGCTATTTTTCTAAAGCTCAGTGTTAGATATTCTCATTGAATCAAGGGAGAGGACAGACAAAAGTTAAACAAAAGGCTTCTCACACTTTTTAGGCTTCCATTAATACAATTTTCAAAGATATGTTTATAGTACTTGGGCAAGCATGCGAAGACTAATAGAAAGATCAAAACTAGTGGAGAAAAGACTAAAATCTTCACAAAGTATAAAACAAGACACCATTTAAATATTATATATCCCACAGCAAATGCATTTCTACTTTTCATGGTTTTGTAAATTTTTTTCTTTTAAAAGAGCAACTCCTCTAGGAAAATACACTCTCACAGCACTCATGTTTCAACAATATTTGAGATACAAAGCAAGAAAATATGCTGACTAATATTTGAGGAATAGAAATAGCAAAACCAGGAAGTACCAAGTTATTTCATTATGTAAGCCTTTTAAAACACAAAACAATAGATACAACCTCAACCATATAGTCTAGACAACTATTGTCACTAAATGAGAAAAAAAAACAGCAAACAAAAAATGTGATGCTCACTTAACATGCCCCTATAGTTGAGGTCCATGTCCCGACTCTCAGAGCGAATCTTAATGGCATCTAGGATGGCATCAGGTGACAATAATCCAGAAGGTCTTACAACATTCAGTAATTCTGTTAGACTCATTAGTGGCAAACGGACTGCTTGCATGATTTCAGCATGGTTTTCCTTGGGGTTATGTTTACACCAATTCATCAAGGCTTGGAAAATGTCTTTCTCAGGAGCTGCAAATGAGTCCCTCAGTACAATACTCAAAAGAGCAGTCTGGAAAAGAAAAAAACAAAACAAAACCAAACAAACAGAATTTTTTTTAAAAGGGAAAAAAAAAAGTAATTAAAATAAAGCTAAAACTAATAGGTATTTTAAGTTGTAGCTACTAAAATTAATGTCCACAGGAGAGACTGCCTGAAACTGTAGCTTGTTCTGGTTACTTCTGCAAGAATTGTAGCATCCAACATGTAAATAATAGGTAACAATATAAATCCACTAGGAGAAATAAGTCAAGAATGTAAAATCAATTTAATTCCAGTTACTTCAAATTTACTTTTGATTTAAGAAATTATTTCTGGATTTGGTAGCACAGTTCAAAGCATTCCTTTAAACTTTGGATGGTATAGGACCACTGATGAGAAAAATAAAGTGGGGCTTGGAATCACATTTTTAAACCATTTCTAACTTACTGGAATTTCCCTCCCCTTCTCTCTCTCTTTTGGTACCAACTTAGAATCAGCAGGTAAAAACTTCAGTGGCTCTTAATTATGCAGAAAAACCACTGACTGGAAAATGAGAATGAAAATAATTGAACAGCTTTTTGGTTTTCACTTAGCTAGCAGAATAATTAGAAGCTTGCCTAAGAAAAGGTTAAATTTCTCATACATACCAGGACTGGCCATGCAAAAGATGGCATAAATTATGCACTTCACGATGAATGACATTTGCTGATTTCTTTATTAATACTATGTTCTCAGAGCTCAGATTTAACAAACTGTGCATCAGAAAGTACAGTAGAGAAAAAAAACACATTTTTTTTCCCCTACACAACTAGTAAGTTAGTCGGCACAGTGTCTTGCACTTATTCTAGGAGTAGACCCACCACAGCTTTTCCACTAAAAATATACGTATAATTAAATGACAATTAATTCCCAATGCTCTGCTGCTTCATGTGAAGATCACTTGAGAACACTGTTACCACTGTTATGTCCTGCTCAAAGACCACTCCAGAGAAAGTAGAAAATTTAAGCCTCACAGGACAGCCTGACTCAGGAAAAAATATTGATGCAACTAACAACAAGAAAACCAAAACACAAAAAAACCCAAGCCACCCAAAAAACCCAAAAAATTACCATATTTTGTAATTTCAGAACATGGTGATAATCAGCAACATAAATCACAGCAACCTTCAGAATCATTCAACTTAACACAGTACAAACACCCACCACAAAGACAGTATGTGTCAAGAAATTAATAGAACAGAGCATCTTGTCCTATCTACACATCTTCACTATATATATATATATTATTTATATTATTTCAAGAACAGATGAAAGAAAGACAAATTAAGATTGGATTGCATCCTCCCATTTCTCAAAATACTCCACCAGATTGAATATATTTAGCTATACTGACTGGTCAAAATTAAATACCTAAAAAATTCAGAACAAATCACCAGGATTTTCAGTTCAGCTTGGCTTCAACTCTTCCAACTGTCACAGTTTCACCAGTATGAAACAATACCCATTAACTAACATATAAACTTCTATGTGGTGCCGCCATTGGTAATTTAACATAAAGTTTTATACAGATTAAAATAAACATTCCTGGAGAAAAAAGTGCAAACAGAAGATATACCTTAGAAAGTGACAGGAAGCCTTCGCTGGAGAGCACTTCTTGGGCGTTTCTATCCATGAACATGCAGCACATACAAGTTAATTTGGGAAGGGAATAAAGGCTGGCAACATCAAATGTCATACAGACATTCTGAATATTAAGTATTGTGCAAAGATACTCAGATGTGGAATCTTCCAGTTCTGGGAATCCATATTTATGTGCTAGGCTTAGGAAGTCTAAGAGAACCTCCTCTTTCTCATCTCGTAGTGTAGCACGACCAGTGTAAATATATTTCAGCAGCATGGTAAAGGCTTCTGCAGTGGTGTCCTCAAGAGGAATTTCTGCTTCAGGCTGAGATTCTCTCATGCCACCATACAATAATGCTCTGTAAGGAAGATAAAACTTGGAATGTTTATATCCTGATTAAAAAAACCCAAAAAAAGTAGAGAGAAAGGAATAAATTACTATTTACAGCAAGGTGAATGCAAAGGGGACACAGTCTAATAATCTACAAAAGAAAAACCTTTATATTTGGCATTTAAAGTGTAGTTCTGAAAGTGGCTGCACAAGAATAAGATTTTAATGCAACACATTTTTATCCTACACAATTCCTCCATTTCCACTTGCAAAGCAGAATCTGAGATATGATTCTTGTATCTTCTTTTTCAATATAGTGCTATCAGTGAGAAAGAAAAAAAAAAATTTGAGAAAGCAAGTGAAACCAATAGTTCACCACTATAACAGCAGAGGCAACTAAGCAAATCTTGGGATTCTTGATCCTCTGTTCCTTACTCTAAACTCAGCAAAGAGCAGATGAAATCCTGCATCCTGAGAAAAACCAAAGTGCTCAAAATCATGTTTTTAAATATGATAGACTGTTTGGACACAATTTGCATTCACACTTCAGTTATTATCCCTCTGACAAAATTAACTGGAAGATTACTGGGAAGTTCTATTAGTTAAACGCAGAATGAAAAATGCCCAGCTCTTAAAAAGGCTCAATTACTATTACTCCTAGTTTTAGAAAATGTATTTTGTGACCTGTATCAGCCAGATCTCTTTAAATATGCAATTCCAATTTGTCAAAATTAATCTTTCTAACTGAGTATATTCCATATATTCTATACCATCCATGCTCTGAGAAATGAAAACAATTTTACAGCAAAACTTTTCAGTTCTGAAGTTACCTAGCACTTGAATTTGTGAAACCACCTTCAAAATCCAATTTAATGAAGGTCAAAAGAATAACATCATGACACGGTATTTATCCATTTATATTTGGACACAATGATTTGATGTGCTGGGAAACATTCCCACAGAAAAGGTCACACTCAATGGACAGACGATTACACCCTGAAAAGTTCATAGAGAAACAATGTTTATCTTATCTGCATGAAAATTTCCTGTGAGCCTGACAAGAAGCTATACTTCACCTGAAATAATGGCACCTAGCAGCCAGGATCACTCTGTGTGCTGGAAAACGTTTCTTCTCTACAATAAAGGTAACGTCACTATATTCTTCCCCATTCATTAGAGCACCAATGTGCTCTGACAGAATGTGAACATGGTCAATCTCACCCACAGCTGTGTAAGGACGAAGTGGATGGCTGTTACTCATCTTGGAGGGATGGTGATATTGGTAGCCTAAAGGGAAAAAGAAAACCATCAGTATTATAAAGGGTACAAATATTAAAAAATTACAAAGATCAAGTTGCAACTAGTGTAAGATACTATATATTATAAGACAAAATTAAACCAAGGGGTTTTCTATTAAAGCTCATTTACAACAGGGCTTGATGCAGTTTGCAGAGAGCCAACAAACTATTTCAGAGAATTCTGTCACCTTGTTGTTCTGTCAATATACCAACTTAAATTTAAAAAGCTTCCAACAAAAGGAATTAATAATTAAACCATTTAAATAAAATTTCCATTAGAAAGCAATTTTATCTAAATTTAAATGCACATAAAAGAGAAATAAATAAATAAATTGACCAAGTAAGCATAGTTTTAACTCTCACAGCTCTACTAAAAGCAGTGATGAGTAAAAAAAAAAATAATTAGAAAATCAGTGGTTTTGCAGAATAATAATCAATTTTCCAGAACTGAGAGAAAATAAAAATTGGGATAACTTTTAATAAATAAAAGGCAAAGTATGTCAAAGAGCAAAGCATTACAGCATGCAATTAAATTTCCTTACCCTTTCTACTCAAGTTTTCTTGAGGCTTTCTTGCTCTTTCATACATGTAAAAAAATAAAATCCCTAATACCTCTCAGTCATCAAAGCAGGAGACTTCACTAAAATACTATACAGATCAATGCATTAGTCATATCTTTTATGGGATTATTTGTTACTTCTTAACTCACAAGAGGTTTGGGGTTTGTTAGTTTTGGTTTATTTCAGTGAGAAACTTTCTGTTGTCTCAGTAGCAAAAGCACCCACAAGAGAAGTTTGGTCTTAAATCCGCTTCTACCATTATACTTTGGTTTACTTTTAAATAAAAAGAGGTAGGCTGTTTCAGGTAATAATCATACACATTTTCAGAGACACCTTCTTTGCTCCAATGACTATCCACTTTTCAAATGGACTAATACTTAGTGCTGAAGAAAGATGGTATACCACAAGAAGCAGGAAAATGATGATGTCATACCCTGCACGCAGCTAACGCATTCATAATTCAAGTGAAATATTCGTGACATGAATGCATTTTTAACCTGTATTTTTAAAAAGTATCATGAGAAAATACACAATTGTTTCCAGTCATTTCCACCCCAACAATGACAATACTTGCACAGGGGATTGCTTATGATTTGCACTTCTCTAACACCTGGAAATGCTTAAGACAAAATTAAGATACTGTATAAATACAGTCCTAAAGAACTTTGACCTAAACTAGAAAAGTGACAGGAACAGGTAGTAAGTTTTTATAAAAATACAGCACACTAAAGTGATAGTACAAATCACACCATAAATGAGAACAAAAACACAGCCTTCCTCAGGCTGCCTCTGCTCCTTGAATTAGAAGCTGTGTGCCTGCGTAACCACTAGAGCATGGAACCAGCAATACTGGCTGAGACACTCAAGGAAGCCTAACCATGAGAACACAGAATACTGTACAGTCTTCTATCCTCCTAGATATCCTATGGGTTTTCAAAACAACAGACTGTTTCTTCCATTTGCAGTGGTTAATTTAAAATTAGCTAGGACAACTGAATTGAACACATTTATGAAATATACACTTCCAGTAACATTTAGTTTGTAACAAGCAAGATTAACTTAACTAATGTCAGTCCAGTTGCATGTATTTATGCTAACAATAATATTTATTACAATATAATTATTTGAGAGCTTATAAAAATAGTAAAAACCAAATCCCCTCAAAATGTAAAATCTTTTATTACACCAAAGGAACAAACAAAAGGATGTAGGTTACAGAGCTGCAAATCTCAAGCCTCGATGCTCTCGAGATTTGTGTACCTTACGAGTCTGCAATTGCTGTTGTTGCTGTTCATGGGTAATCATCAATCAAACTATTCATGAGTTACGTGCACATTATCAAGCAACTCTGTACTACATCTCTTCTGCTAGTCCCAGTTTTGACTGATCAGGGAAGTTCACTTAAGATACTCCATACATATGCAAGTACAGGCACATTTTCGTTTTAAAATCTGTATTTTAAAATCCAATTTTTCTACATTCTTCTTTGTTTCTTTCATCCACTCTTACCTCTAAAAACAAAGAACAGGTACTACCTGCATGAAAGTGAGACTATCAAAGTGTTAAAGATAAGGGAATGCCATCAGCTGCACACTAAGTTTGCTTTCAGTAGCTACGGATGTTGTCAGGTGCCCACAGGGTGAAAAGTTCAAGGGAAAATTGTTTCCGTTTCAGGTTAAATAAGCAAATAAAATCAAAAGCACACTTCCCTCTCAAGGGTACATAAACCTCTCTCTAAACAGTGTATAGAAGAGAGCAAGTCTGAACTGGGCACATTTGCTAAAAAGCCAGTCTTTATGAGCATCAAGATCCTAAACTACAGCAAGCTATGAAAGTAGAAATTGAACTTACACACACTGGTTTCTGTAAGAAAAAGCTGTTTTGATGTTTAATGCTTTCCAAATTGCTGGTACAATTCCCATTCTAAACTATCAGTGTCAAACAAGAACATGCTGATCACAGGGACTGCAACACAAAGGCTGGCTAGAAGCCTCTGGCTGAGGAGCCTTTCAAACCCTTGAATGACACAAAGTACACTAGTACATTGAAGAAGCACTCAAATTCATTTATTTACTACTACACATTTCCAGTTCAAATTTCACCTGGATTATGGATTTTCTATATAAAGCAGCCCAGTGAGAGCAGTCCTACATCCAAAATCTAGAACAAAATAATACATGACTTCAGATCTATCCACACTGGATTAATTAGTAGTACAAATTCAGTCAAGCCCTTGAAGTAACCTGCACATTAACTGTTAGAAGAAGTAAAAACTAAAGTACTGCTTTAGTTGTAGTAAGTTGCTGTGAGCTGACAACTGCTCTGTACAGCTAAAAATTTATTTTTCTAGTTACAATTCAAAGTATTATTTATTATTAAAAAATATGGCAGCTGTTGGGAGCTTGGAAACCACTTCCTGAATATCCCTCTGGCATCTTCTGTCACCAAACAATATCACCCCTTTCAGAGAATATAGGTGTTACCCTTCTTGGAGGTCGAAGAACACAACCAACTTCAGACTAATAGGCCAAGCCATCTACAAGCCTCCTGCCAGCACCACAACCAATTTCCAGGAGTTATTTAGAGCTAATTAACTGCTTCAGGAGTCAGCTGCTGCAGCTTTGGTTCATGCCACAGAAATAAACAGAACAGTCTTCTCAAATAGAGTTTGCGGCACGATTAAAACTGCAACAATCTCAAGGGGCATCTGTTAAGTCAGAAGATTTACAAAACATTTCCAAAGACCCCATCAGAAAACACTCTTCTTGGTAGCCCTCTCCAAAACTAAGCCTGTGAAAAACATGGTCCAGTATTTATTACATAAGGCAATATGCACTATTACACAATGTGTGTCATAGTTAGAAAAACAACAACTTCCCCACAGTTTTCAGCTTGCTGCATTTATTTTTAGCACGCAATATGTAACACCTTACAGCATACAAAAACAAGATCTAGAAAATGCAGTAACAACAGCAAAACCCCAATGACATCTTTATTGAGGCTCTGGTTTGAGAGCTGTTTAAAGTTGATTGGTACTCAAGTCATTTCCTCTCCTCATATGGGCTATCGCTAAAGAGTGTGCCATACATACCATTGTTTCAAATAATATGGTTTTGTTTTTTAATGGATACACAGATCTTTTTATATATAAATATTTTGTTCTTGTAAGCTCAGGTACAATATGCCAACAGTATGAATTTACAAATACAGAGTCTGGAAGATCAAGTAAAATAAAGTCATAGAACTTCTAAGTCTCTTCTCCAATCCTTCTGTTGTGACAGGATTAGAAGAAAAGCAGATATTAACTCTGGTTAATGATAAACAGCCACATAATTCAATAACAGCATTCTAAACAACAAACAAAAATGTTCTGAATTAAAGTGTATGGGAAGTTATGCACCATTCATCTGCAAGCAAATTCTCATTACTGAAGTGCTGTAGAGCTAACACTTTACCTTCTGTTTAGAGACATATTTCTCCGAGAGAAGAGCAGAAATACGTGAAATACATTTAGCTAAATGCAGATTATCTATTAACACACATATCAAATAGGTATTACTGCACTCAATGCAGCCACACATATCAAATAGGTATTACTGCACTCAAGTAATTTTAATTAACCTACTCACCGGTTAAAATGGCATAGAACTAAACCCTTAAGTTAAAATGTTAAGAAAATACATGGGTCCACTCACCACTAAAGCTGTCTGAAGATCTACAATGGATGTAGCCTGTAGGCAGATTGCCAGCTTCCTGAAAATTAGGGTTCTTCGCCATTCTGAACAACAGAGAGACTAAACAGCAAGTTCATAGAAATGCTATTCAGCAACATCCAGCTGCACAACAACAAGTGTACCATTTCCTGAAACAATGCACAAAATATTTACCATTAGAAACTGGGGGGATGTAGCCTCTGGCAAAAGTGAGTGAGATGCATATTTCTCAACTAAAATTTTCATGGAAATAAATTGTTAAAATACTCCCGTTCTATAGGAAAACTTGTAATAATGTTACAAGATAACATTAGAATTTAATTCTGACCATATTTTTAACCACCAAAAAAGATAACATATCGCCATTCATTTGTTCCTTAAAAACCACAAAAATTTCACCTTGACATTCTCACTACAGCATTAATGTCCTTAAGAACATCACTTTTTCCACACAGGTGTCCTAATTAAACCAGGTCTATAAAAACTGTATCACACACATTTCATTCCCCACGTATCCAAATTTCTCCAAGTGTTCTTGCCTAGCTAAAGGTTTTGGAGTTTTGGGTTTTTCTGTTGTTTTGTGTGTGTGTGCATTTTGTGTGTGTGTGTTTTTTGTTTGTGGGGTTTTTTGTTATTACTGGTTTTGTTTTGTTTGCTTGGGGTTTTTTTGTTTGGTTTTGTTTTTTACAATACTTCAGGCAGTTGGTACATCTTTCTCCTGTGCAAGCCTTTAATTTTACAAACAAAAAAACAAAACTGCAGGGTGAGGAAATCCAGAAATATAGAGGCTTTATTTGTTTAAATATAATAAACATAATTATTATCTCTCAACATTCCGGATTATTGATACTCTAGTCACCATACCTGCCAGCAGGAAAAATAAACCAGTTATAATTTGCTAAACAGGTGATACCTTGCTCTATAAATTCTCTGGCAAGAGATGCTCTAATAAACTTTAAAGCATATGATTAAAGCAGCAAGGAGGGAGTAGGAAGAAAAAATATTTTTTGATAATCTCATGAACTGGAAAGTAACCACACCTTAATCTGACAACCTCCTGTTTTGGAGAATAACATGTAATATCTAAATATTTGTTCCTACAAGTAACTTAAGTTATTAAACTGACTTGTATTATCAAAATGTATTAAAAAGGTAAATTATGAAAATTATTGGTGTTTGTGTTTTTTTTAGATAAATATGAGTGATCAGATGCCATTAGAACAGTATGTTTCAAGAACCTGGTTTACATACTTACAACAGAAGACATGCCAATTAAGCCTGCATTATGAGCAGGCTTAAATTAGATCTTAAAACGCACGAAAAATTAAGTGATCCCAGAACATGTTTTGGGAGGGGTCTGTGTGCTGGGCTTTGAAAATAACACAAGCAAAGACCATTGGTGGGCAAGCAACATTACAGGCAGATTGCTAACAAGTCAACAACAAGTGTTGGGTTTTTTTAAGGCTGAAAATAGCGCGTTTTTTTCTGTGTCAAAAGGCATTTCAATGCATCACAGCAGTGCATAACGTGGAGGACTTGTTACGTACTTGTTAAGTACTAAGACCCCAGAAGAACCTGTGAAAATACTATGTGCGCTATCAAAGGGTGAAAATACTGAACTAACGCAAACCATACAAAACCATAAGCTTTCAGAAGGCCCCGACAGGCTCCCGCCGAGCGCGGGGCAGGCGGACGAGGGCAGGTGCAGCG